ATGATGAAAGGGAGGCTCACGTCTTCAAATGTCTTTGTTGTCTTTGTCGATGAAGAGGCTACATTGGTCTTTTTGGGGGGTTGAGGATTCGCGATTGCCTCATTCCCAATTCCAATCACCTTCTTCCCAAAAAGATCAAAAGAGCGCCCAGAGGCCGCCAGAGGGCCGAACACCATTGCAGACGAGACCGTTTCAGACGAACTTCCCCGCGTGCCAGTGTTTTAAGGGAGTCCCCTCCATGGAATCTCCACGATCCCCTCTCCGTAAGACAATACTTGCAGGATCTTAGCTCTCAAGCCAAGCGGCCCATGTACGGCTGCGTAGATACAGTTTTTATCGACATGGCGAAAAATGCCTCTTAGAACGTAGCTGCAGGAGGCAGGAGCACAACACTCCAAGAGCGGACCACCAAACAATATGCCATGCAAGTACGTTTCGGCGAGCTTGGCAATTGAGAACCTTGTTGACTGCTGGAAAGGCAGCGATTGATGCGGACTCAAGTTTCAAGCCCCAAAACAACCACTGGTCACCAACTTGGTCACCAACTAGGCATATAAACATGATTCTGGTTGGAACAAACTGCATAGGTGTTCAAACCAGGGTCCTTTCCATCACCGAAGCTCCAAACCGCCCGGGGTCTTGGGACTCACCGACCGTTGGGATTGGGTTTGCACCAGTGAGGGTGGATGGATCGATGTGGGTCGACGTGGGTCGATTCAGAGTCGGAGTCCTTGAACTCTTTCTAGGTCTTACGAGGCAGTCAGATTGAGCAATGTTTTCATGATCGATTCCATCAACAGCATGGCAATTGAACCTCATGAGGGTCGTGAGAAAACCCTCAAACAGACAACAACCATTGTTGAAGCTGTTCAATTGATTCCAATCTCCACCCATATCCACCAAAATGGAAACTTGCCTATCTCCGCCTTGGACTCTGCCCCATAAACCATCTCCACCGTCTGGAGCCCCATGCGCCCCCCGATCCCAAAAAAAAACACGACGCCCTCCTAACGCGCTCGCTGGTCCCCGGTCGGTGCCTACCGGGAGGTTCAATAGCCGGGACCACGTCACTCGTGGTAGCCAGGTGAGGGGGAGGTCCAATGGAAATGTGAAGTGTTGGGGGTGTGAAAAGATGGCATGGAGTCAGTGCAAAAAATCTGACGGGTCGGTGGGCTTAGACATGCGCCAGATGCTGCAGCCGCGCCAGCACATCTTCAGCTGGAGGCCTGCCCTCCAGAAGAGCCTCCAGGCTCTCACGCGGCCACGCCATTGGCTGCGAAGGCAGGGGACGAACGCAAGACGGAAGTCACGGAGACAAGTGGCCAAAAAAAAAAGTTGGTACCGTGGGAAAACCTCATTGCGCTACATGTGTGGGCTTCACGTGATGACTGTCTTCGGCTCGGCCGCGACACTGGAACCAAGGTCTATGACACTCTGGGCCGGAACATCTTTTGCAGGAAACAACGTGTTTCGCTTGGGGGTCCTGTGTTTGGCACCGAGCAAAAACACACATGTGCATGTGAACCAGGAGGCCTAGACCCCAACGTGATACTGCGAAAGGCAAACCCTGGTTTTCGTCGGGCGGAGCACAAGAGACTGGAGAAGTTTGCCCATGAGAGTTGAGTGCGCAACAGGTCTTGGTTTGCAACACCCGAACGCGACCATAGTGCTCTTGAGTCCTTCTGTACGAGTATCCATTCATATCCACTCTTATCCTCCAATAGGCACCCTTTTGGGAGCTGCTTGTGTCTGTATATATATATATATGTGTGTTTTTTAAAAATATAGATCTAACCAGAAACCTATTCACTTTACAATGTAATTTTGACCCGGTCAATCTGTCAATCAGCCAACCGTCAACTTCTCCGAAGCACAACCTCACTATACCACCTTTGTCCAGCCCATGCGGGGCACTATGCTGCTCTTGACCTGACACTGGGGTTGTCAGCCCACGGGTGGAATCCAAACGGTTGCATTTTCAGATCAAAAAGGCATGCACACTTTTCACAACCTGGCAGGCCTCTGACCCCTTTCCATCTCAGCAGCTCCGGCTTGTGGGGATACCTCCTCAAGCGGTTGTGGGCCTTGCGCAAGGCATCCTTGACATCCCGCTGCTCACTGTCATTTTTGCTCCAGCTGTTGTCTCCACCACGTTCCCAGCAGCCAGCACCACATACCGCACCAGCGCCCTGTTCCACCAAGGCGCGCAGCCAGCTCCCAGCGCCGGAACCCACCACCACGCGCACAGACAGCTCACAACCGGCACCCGGCACGCTGTCTCCACTACGCGCGCGGCCAGCAACCGGCACAGCACCCTGTCTCCACCACGCGCACAACCATGCAGCTCACCCAGCACCGGCACCAGCCCAGCTGACAGCACCAACACCCGGCACCCTCTCTCCATTACGCACAGCCAACCCAGCACCAGCACCGGCACCCACCAGCACCAGCACCCACCACGCGCACAGACAGCTCACAGGAGGCACCCGGCACCCTGTCTCCACGCGCACAGCCAGCACCCTAATTTGAAGTAAGAACCCCATATCTTCGCTATCTGGGAAAAAAACCAAGTGGTGCTGGGAGCATTACCTGCAGCGCTTTGGAGCTGGAATCTGTCATTTTGCGCGCTGTTTGCCCTACATCTTAGGACTGCAACACGATAGATGGATAGCTCCTTTGGCAAATAGCCAGTTGGGTACTTGTAGCGGATGAGTTGTCCCTTAGTTTGTCACCACAACCAAGCTGAATGCTGAACTGGTAAAGAGATAGACAATGGACAGATCAAGAGATAGATTCATGAACAAATGTAAATTACACCAGCATAGACCCAGATAGCTAGGCAGAATCCCACGACCTGTTGACATGGGCAGCGGCACCAGCGCCCGACCAGCGCCGCCGCCCGTCTTAAACGCGCGCTCAGTCAGCTCACAGCACCAACACCCAGGACCACAACCACCACAAATCGCAACCTCACGGTTCCCTACACCTGCCACGAACATTTACGTGTCCACACGTCTAACAAGCACAAAGTACTGCGCCTGCCACGAAATGTGACTTCCGCCCCACTTTGTAACCTCACGATTCCCTGCGCCTGCCACAAAAATGGCACTTCCACACCTCAAAACCCGCACAAAGTACTACGCCTGCCACGAAGAGTGACAATATCATATCATGTGAGCTTCAACAAAGTTTGCACCACATCACATTGGAATGGCTTTGACACGTTCTGAGCACACTCCCATCCACCAAAGTCGCCATTTCAGCTGAGACTTTGTCACGAAAACATAGCTTCGATGCAACCCTGAAACGCAAATCCCAATGCCACAGCCACATCCAACACCCCAAAAAACACCACTCCCCAAACGTCAGTCCCAATGTGACTACGCAGAAAACTGCGAATCTCGCAAAACGCTGCGCCTGCGCAGTGAAATCATCCTCCACACTTCAACATCTTACGTTTCCACACGATTCCTCGCTATCTCACACGCATCTGACCCGTCACGCTTCCATGCAAAACTCTCTCCAAAAGCTTCCCCGAATGGCAGCGCCTTAGCGCTCTACTGCGGACGGTTGTGGACGGTTGCGGACGGTTGACAACGGTTGCGAACGCTACGACAACGAGTCGCGAACAAGGCTCTACCCCCAGACCCCCAGAGTTAAACGAGAACCTTCGCATTCGGGAATAACTGTTGGCGAACGGACGAACGGAGTTTTTCAGACAAACTTGAATGCTAAATATATATGTGCTCAGGTCACACAACCCTTCGCCACCAGGGTCATGTCACCCATTGAACTCAAACGAACATGTACAGAATGGATGAGTCGTTTCTTTTGCCCATTTGGCCCAGAAAGTGTGTACTGAAAAACGTCTCCAGTATCTCTTGGCCCTCAGGTCCGACGAAAAACCATCGCACCTGGCTCACTTCAATGCCCCAAGGCCCTGTGGCTGCATCAATCAACTCGGTGATGCGCGCATTCAAACGGGGCCGCTGGGCAAAGATCTCACTCAAGGAATTCTCCCCCACCACCGTGCGCATGGTCACCTGGACCAGGTTGGTCAAGGCCTGCTTGTAGTTTTGAACTTCAAACAGCACCTTGGTCGCATCCAGCACACGGTAGAAGCAGACCGCATCGATGGTCACGGTGAGATTGTCCTTGGTCATCACCATCTGCGGCTGTACATCGATACAGGCGATTTTCAACGGCACGACGAGGACCTGTTCCACCGCCACGTTGAACTGGTGTCGGCCCGGCTCCAGCATGCGATCAAACTTCCCAAAGCGCAGGACCACTCCCACGGAGCCCTGGTCGACCCGCGCGAAGTTGCCCGCACCACCAAAAGGCAAAGCAAAGATGGAATAGATCTGGCCGAAGACCGTGCGGATTTTGTTGCTAAAGGGTTCCCTTTTCTTTTTCTCCGTCTTCTCCGACTTCGCCCGAGAAGACAAACGTCGAGCGCTTCGCTCTACGCTTCTGACTGCGCCAGTGGAGCCAGCGAGGAAAGCAAGGAAGCCCGCCGAGGTGCTCAGAGTTGAAGAGGCTGAAGATGGAGGAGCTTGCCCTTTTGAAAGGCTTGGGCTCACTGGATGTTGAAAGAGAGAAGGCACCGAAAATGCGAACGCTGTCGCCATTGCGAAGACCCGCCGGGAAATGGAGTCAAGTGTCCAGTTCGGGGCTCCCCACAGAAATCATGAGAATGTCCATGTCAGATCCATGTACGATGAGTGAACTATACACTTCCAGCATTCCAGCCAACATCGGCTTTGCGACCATCGAGCAGTGGAGACAGCAATCTCAATGGGCTTCTTTACCTGTCAACTCTTCCAGTCATCTTCCAGAGGGGCAAAAGACTTCGACTTGACTCCACCAAAATAACTGGAACATACCTGGAACCATTTGGTGAGTCACTCAATGTAATCCTTGCAGAATGGCTGCAAGATGCTGTGATTATTGTTTTTGTTGCACATCTATTTTGTGCGGGATTCACTCAGGATCCCTGCCAGTGATGCGCAGCCGGCGATGCGAAGGCACTTCAGCTGGCTTTCTTGGACCTCGACATGGAGGTACTGCAGCAAGTAGTCGTTTCCATGGTCCATGTCAATATTCACATGTCTATTATTGCCATGTATTGCCTGTTTCAGCATCTGTAGCAAAAAAGTCTATAGTCCATTACTGTCGTTAGTTATATGGTCGCTTTTGAGGGCATTGGTGCACAGATGTCCACTGCTTTCGCGTTGTTGAAGGAGATGTCGGAATGAAGACGTCACGACAACTGTCTCGGATCGGCCCCGTTCTGTTTGGCAATCACTCAGATTCCAGGCCTGAGTTCCAAGGTTGACAAGGACCTGCCAAAACGTCAGAACGATTGGAAGGATCGCTAGGAAGTGATGCAAAGCAGCTCGGAAATGTCCATTGAAAGTTTCTGCGTCTGTCTGTGTCTATCGTGTGTGTGTGTGTCTACCTGTTCTACCAGCCATGGCAGACCGAATCCGAGAACAGGCTCTCCCTCTCCTTACTAGTGCTCTTTATTGGTCTTAATGCGTGACCTCATCTTTCATTGCCATTCTCGGTGGGTTTCTACCTAACGCATTGTGTCATTGCCATGGTGGACATTTCAAAGGGATACCCAAATAACAGAAAAGGAGAATTCCTATATGGATTCCTACATCTGCTTCCATGAAATTCCCAGTGGTCCCATCTGTTCCATCGATCAACCGTCTCGACGTTTTCGGGCGGTTCTGTTCCATCGACCGGGGGCAAGCGTCCACTCGACCCTCTCATCCAAAAGGTTCGTTCGTTCGCGGAGCCCACGAATCCACAACACCTCGCGCGAGCCCGGCGGCCTCACTGTCCAGCAAATTCCAACTGAGATCTAACCTGCGGATGTTCGGCGTCTGATGGTTGGAATGGTGAGAAAGATGCGGATTGGATGAGGAGTGAACCTGGGGGACTTCTCACTTCATTGCGTTCCTCATCAGCGGCTTCTATTTTTTGGCCAGGATGAAGGGATGTTCAGGGATTGGATCCTTGTCCCGTTCTACATGAAATCATAAACCCTAGTTTGGTGGCAAGTGCCTGTGTACTCACTTTATCAAAGGAACTATCGAGCTAGGTTGCTCCACAATGTTTGTAGGATCCTTGTCCACAAGGGAAGGGACCTTGCACGGAGCAGTCCTTGCCATCCCTCTGTCACACCCTCAGACACCAGTTGGATAGAAACGATCGTCGAATTCCACCTCGGCCAGTGATGCTGTTTGATTTGCATCCACAATTAAACTACCTATATAACTAACAACACCCTGTAGATCCTACGGCCACCCGAAGATCCCCAACCCCTTGGGTCAGGCAGGGTGGCCGGGCTTCTCCGCTCGCTGGGTCGACTGGGGTTCCTTGTCAGCTGAGCAGCCGGACTCCCGCAAGGTGCGGCTGCTTAGCAAAGCATCCAAGGAGGGCACGAGAGAGCTGGAACCTGCTTGGCCTGGGATCATTGAAACAGAACTACGAGGACTTGTAGCCCAAAGTTTAAAAGGGTGGAAGTGCAGAATGGAAGCACTTCAAATCTTCCTTTGTAGAACAACGTCCGCAGTGTGGGCTCTCCAATTGTCAGGATGCATGGTTTTCACGTCCCAAACCAACATTTGGACACCCCCTTGGCGTTTTGAGCCGTGCCCTGCCTGATGCTCCAATTCCCAGATCTGCCAAGTAGAGAGACTCAATGCGCGGATGCCTAGGCCAGGGATTTCCACTGGAGATTGGCTCCAACCGGACTGCATCCAAGCGGAACCTGGCCCTGGCACAGTCTCTGAACCCTGGATGATCACTTTGTTCTAAAATGTTCTCAATATATAACATATTCGCGTCCGAAAGATGTTGGTAGACCTTTAGGTGACTGTCCTGGTATTCTTGCAGCTGCCACCGAAAAGGCACCTGTTTGGCCACAAGATAAGTTTATTACATCGGTGCCTTGCTTGGTGTCATGAATAGCAAGCACCAAGGTGCAAACCCAGAGGGCATCCCTCACCCAAGGTGCTGAAGAACGCCCCTGCAGACTAACATGGACCATGAAAATGGACCCATATAAGACTGTTCTCATCTACCACCCAGTGGTGTTTAGGGTCCTTGTTAATTTGCAGGAGGTTATCAGTCTCCATTTTCCAATGTTAGGAATTGGTGCCCGTGATCGGAATTGTTTGCACTTATGCGGGGACAAGAAGAGAATTGTGCAACCAGGCAGTGCCAGACAGGTCGGGCCGATTTCTCCGAATGCACTCAATCAAGTCTGATCAATGCCCAGGCTCTTTCCAATGACGCTGCACATACTGCTGAACGCCTGGCACCGACATTGAAGCCAGGAGGCGGGTTGGGCAGGGGCTTTATGAATCAACAATCTACAGACACCGATCAGAACTGTAAACACAACCTGGGATTTCAATGATGAACTACAGGTTGACTGGGTCTTGCCTCGAGAGAAACTACATGTGAGCTTGGATTTGATTTTGTGCAAAAGATGGCGAACATGTTCGACCAGTTTGTCCGTCCATCCACCAGCTGTTTTCGTAATGTTATGATTGCAAAGAACTCATCAGCACCACTGATGGGAAGACTCCGAGGATTGACTACAGGACCCCCTTCTTGACAATGGTTTTACATCTCCATCTGGGGGCTTTATTGATCAGCAGTCAACATTCCTGTGCATGCCTTTTGGATCATGCGGTATTTCGCACTCGCTCGAAACCTCACCGAAGCTCGCCTGCATGGTGAGCTTGATGCTGCTCAAGTCCTGGATTTGGGGCGACGTTTCAGGACATCGAGGCACCGTGTGTTGGAACAAGAAGAAACCCCTTCAAGACATCCATCTATCCATCTATATCCCCTAGTGAAGAGGGTCCAAAAACCCATGCGGTTGCACCAGGCAAAACAAAAACATACAAAAACCATCGGGATCAGACCCGCTCAGCGCGAACGAACCGCTACTGGAAGTGGCTGCGCAGCTCTTGCCACTCCGATGCGGAAAAAAGGGTCGAAGGGGGGTAGACGAGAGCGACCGTGGAAGGAAGGAAGAAAGACCGGGCAAAAATTGAAGGGATCGAATTTGTGAAATCCATGATGTTTTTGTACCTGATATTTTTTATTGCACCTCTGACCACCACCCAGTACTGGCAGTTTGTTCTGCCTGGTCGAACGCCCGTGGGCTCGACGACATCCATTTGTGCAAGGATAAAGTGCCAGTGATGCCCCCGCATACTGGAAACAGCATGTGAACACGCCCTGACCAGCTGGGACAAGGCACCAAGGTCTTCAAGTTGTTGAAGTCTGGCATCAACTGGAGCCTCAGAATGCAGACGAATCAGTTTTGAATCAACCCAAGCGATGGTCACGAATCAAGAATGTGTCATTTTATTTAGCAGTCAACAAGCAACCAAAACATTGTCCCAACCATTTCGGGAAACTACTCCTCGCAACGGAGTTTCGCATCAGGTTCCTCGTCACTGGTCCAGACATCAGCAAAGCTGGTGGGTGAACCTATCTCGACACATCTACAGTTGCCAATGTTGATCCCTGACAGCCTGGCTGCCTATCTGCAGGGTGTCCATGTGTACAATGATAAGCATAATACAGTTACAGGAAGAGACCATGTCAAACCATGTCAGGTGTCTACGAAAAGCGCGCGCGCCCGCGCGCGCGTGTGAAGACACTGAAACCTGCCGTCGGCATGCGGTATAGTGGGGCGCAGGGGCCCACACGCCCTCAGATCTAAGGCAGAGGCATGACTGAGGCAGTGTGAGATCCAGCGCCGGAGCAGCCTTTCCTCAGTCAAAGCTGCGTTTCGCAGGGTTAGATTAGAACTTGTTCTTGGCTGGTTTCCAGAAAAGTCCTGTCCTCTGGTGTCCTGCGTTCAAACATACTCCATGAAGTTGCAAGTTGCAAGGTATGTGCTCTCAAGCATGGAACCCCAAATGATTGATGAAAGCCACGAAACCTGGGTCTCTTGCATAGCTCAAGTAAACTATACTTCTTGGAAGCAAGGACGATAAAGTTTCATGAAAATGCTGCTGCCCACTTGTTCTTGTTCCACAAGCATTGGGTCTACTCGGAACTTAAATCAACTTAATTACAATGTTCGGCCTTTCATTCTGAACTATCGGAATTGAGTATACTTGGTCATGATCTATGCTTAAGTTGCCTCCCGACTCCCAACGGGCAGTACGTGCCGCACGCCACCCCTCGTGTCGCTGCGTTCGCTCCCAAGAGGCAGTCGAAGAGACGACAAGCTCGGGGGGCTTCCCAGTGACGCCTGGGGCTGGTTGGAGTGATTTGGGAGCGACGTCTGGGGGGCTCTTGAAACAGAGAGCACCCCAAAAGACACAAAAATGCGGAAGAATCTTCAGCGCTTCAGGTTGGCCACCTACAGAAGCCGTTTTCCGTAGAATGTTAAAGGCTCAATGGTCAAACCATTTCAGTAACACCCATGTGAAGAGCGTCATTTCCAGGGCTATCCCACTACCCTTGATCTGGCAGCAAACCAAAGATCCTCAATCACCGCCTTGCTGAAGCGGTTTTGTTTTGACCGCCAAACCATGTCACCTGTGCCGAAAAGAACCTCCATCACCGATGCCTCAGTGCTCACTCATGTGGAAAATCCAAAGTATGTATAAATAAATGCACCCTTGAAAATTAACATGGAACCTGAAAACCACTGGGTCGTAGAGAAAAATCGTCTCCATGTTCATGTTTTTTACGGAAATCTTCCCGGGTGTACATCAATTGAAGAAATCTGAAGAATTTCCACAACTCTTGATGTCCAAAAACCATCTCTACTGGGTCTCCACCCCACCCGTTTTGTCTCTACTGCGGCCCGAACGAGGAAGTCTCCAATGGCTTCGTCCGAGAGGAACGAATTCCCCTGGCAACACCGGCTCCCCTGGTGAGATGGGCGCATTCAATCAGCCTCAATCCGACCTACTTGAACAGAGGAGTTTCGGTTGAGGTTCTTCAGGTCTTCAGGTGGGAGCTCGTGCATCAGCAGTATCATTTGTAGGATTCGGTATCATATGATCTTACAGAAGGTCTTGTAAGAGTTGCTGTTCTCGGAACGTTCCTAGATTCACCCAGTGAACCAACCGGATCTGACCAATCAACCTACAGTATATAAAGGCCAAACCTGACTTGAATGGCAACGATTATGATTTCCCTGGACAAAGAAGGCCTCTCCTGGCAAATGCACGAAATACCTCCTTCCCGTTCGATCTTTCCCATCTCCATCCCTAGCATCTTCATCCCATGCCCATCCGCCACTCACTCCTGTTTTCCCCATCCGCCTCCAGATCCACCATTTCCACTGAGACCTCTGCCAGCCCCGCACGACACGCGCGCAGCTGCCCATCATCCAAGCTTCGGCCGTCCAGGCACCCGGAGTGCCCGGTGATGATGGGCGAAGGCCTCCCGGTGAAAGAAGCACAGCCGCACGGCTGCCGAAAACTGAGCACCGAGAGAAAACATGTTCCAAGACAGATCAGCGAAGCTCCACATTCAAACAGGAAGGTGAATGTGCAAACTAGAGCTCGTGTTCGCACTATATAGGCTGTTGACACGTTTATGAAGTGGACAGTTGCAGGAGGCAACAAACGGCGGTGACAAGTGACAAGCATGAAAAATTGGACGACGACAATGGCAGTAGCAGACCAAGGGGCAAGAGGCAACAACCAGGAAAGCATGGAGGGACCAGGGACACCTGAAAGCATGACATACAAGAAGCCTCGCAAGTATGAAGTGGCACATGATACAAGAAATTTGTTCACATTAATGCCAAGAGGAAAATGTGACTGTCCGAAATCATCCCCTAGCCATAATATTGTATACATTGTATTTACTATGTGTATATATATACATACGTATTTCACAGTACATACACTATGTATGTTCTATTACATATCTTATACATATACACCGTATGTTTTAACATTTTAGCTACAGTAAAAAAACAATACTACGCTATATAGTATTCTATTACAATAAAACTGGTTGTACTATGTTATTGTTGATCAAATTATAGTATATGCTATATTATGTAATGTTATACTATATACATAGCATATAAAATGCATATTATATTATATACATATTATATTGATTTATTTTGTATAAGTATGTACATATCGTGTTTTATGTTGTATCGTATATACATTATATGCAATGTGTGATACATGTGTTTGCGCCATTTCTTGACTGTGTGCGCTATAGCCTATAGCAGTAGCACTTTTGTGGGGCTCCGCTCTTGGGTTCACGACATTCTTTTTTAGCTGAGGCTGAGACCGGACCCAATAATTACATACCTCACAAATCACACATCAAAGGGGTTCCAGCTACATATGGATGTCAAACATTTGCCTTTTCGTCCTCAGCTTAGTGCACTCCGTGCCCTCTTTGCCCTCCGTGCCCTCCGTGCCCTGCACACCTGGGCAAGAGCTTCTGGCTTTCACAGGCCTCACAGGTCGCCGCACAAAAACACTGAAATAGAAGCTCAGAGCCATGTGCCAATTCGTATCATTCTATTTCTGAAGAGGACGCCCACTCTTAAACAAAGCACCCTACCTTGGAGGCCTTGGTTCGTATATCATCACTACGTCCCGCCTGCAAGTAAATATTCGCGGTGGTGTCCTGACAAGTTTCAAGAGTCCAATTGAGCTAAACAAGCCACTGATCCAACATCACTCGCTCAAGTCCACTGTTTAGCGCAGAAGCTTGAACATGTTTCGTACTTGCGAACGCATGCGAACACTGCCAACACTGTGGACACACCCCGAAACCCACACGCCGACCTGTAATGGCATGTTTTGCGTGGGTTCTGCCAAATCAGGTCGAAAGGGCAAATGGATGACTTCCTCGAGCCACTTCGTGGCTATGAAATCCACCCACCTTGGTGCTTCGCACCGCCGCAGCGGACACCGGCCTGTCGCGCCGCCCAGTTTGCTGTTCCGCGACGAAAACGACGCGAAAAACGTCGCGTGGCGGTACGAGAGCCATGAGCCATTCGGAGGTCTGTCCGACGTGCAAAAGGGCTGGTGTGTGTTGACTACCACCAAACATGACGACTTCCGCACGGCTGTTTCGGGTGATTGGACATGAAAAGCACCACAAACTGACCAGCATGTTGCATACTTCAGGCAGACTAAAGTTTATGCTTGTTAACCATGTTCAAACAACGCTGTAGGGTCAGCTTCGGATCAAATAACCATGTTTCATAGGACGCTGAGGGCTCTCGAGATCTCTCAAGTGCAGGTAGCACCTCCGAGCGCGCTTCTTCAGAGGTTCGGACAGCAGCGATGGCAATGTGGGCCTCCCAGAGTGCAGGGGGGTCGAAGCTGAAACATGTGGGCAACAACCCAACCTGGACAAAAAGCGAATGCTGGCAGCCTAGGAGTGAGCTGAACTCTTCACATAGCCGCTCACTTTTTAGGCCATTGAACTGATGATATCTTCGAGCACCCTGAATTTCTGCTCCCCCTGCATCCTGCTGAATCCCTAGTACACTCTGGCGAATTGGACATGTTTTCATCGTGATGTCCTGCCGTTTTCTCACGTGGGACTGAGAAATCCATCCCCAAAACCCCGAGCAAATCCGAGCCCAAACGACGCCCATCTCGTCGGGAACGACATCCGTCGTCTCGACCATCTCCGCCTGGAGTCCATGATTGAGACCGCCCGGGCCTCACGAAACGGAGACGGAGACGGGACGGTGGCGCCCGGTGGGAGGGTCGGGACTGGCAGGTGGAGAAACACCGCGACATCGGTCGGACTGTAAAAAAAAACACTTCAGAGCTTCTGATCACATTTAGCTTTGAGGCCTATAAATGTCTGTTAACATGTCAACACTAAAATTCCTACAATTGATGCAGCAAACGTTGTTTGAACTTGAAATGCTATATGCTTGAACTCTGGATACATTGGATCGACATGGAATATTCAATTCCAAATCAATGAATGAGAAGCATACAGCACTAAAACCACTCTCACCTGCCAACGGCCCACCAACATCGCCCTCCGACCGATTCGCTGTTGCTCCCCACCGGCGCCACCGGAGAAGACTCCGAGGTCGTCCGAGCACCTGGAGCCGACCCGTTCAGCGCTGCGGCTGGGCTTCCAAAAAGGCCCGATGAAGAATGAGAAGCAGCCCCTAGTAGCGTCCTTGCTCCTAGTAGTACGGCTAGGAGCCCCTAGTAGCTTCTTGTTCCTGGTCCTAGTAGCGATGCCAGGAACCCCTAGTAGCGTCCTTGCTCCTTCTCTCGGGGTCGTCTTTCGCAACAAAAATCTTCTGTTGAGTGCAAGTCGAGGGCTGCGCCAATCAATCAATCAATCAATCAAGCAATCAATCTCATCTCTGAGCTTTCTGCTGGCACCACTGAGTCCACCTGAGTCAATGAAGCCACTGCCACGAGTCGTGAGAAGAGCTGCGAGCCCTTCCTCCGCGAATACGCATCTGGAGATCGTTGGTTCATAGCTTTGAAGCACAGGCATAGTTTCCACCAGGGAACGTGCACAAGCTAATCGATGTTCCAGAATCACGACATGTGAAGAACGGAATGCTTTCTCTGAGAAAGTCCTTCTTTGCTTCCTTTCTCAGGAGTTCCAACAAGGGACATTGCGAGGAACCAGAAAGGTTCCTAAACATTGCGGTGCATTATGAAAAATGTTATGCCCTCTTTGGAACCGGACATTGTCCAAATCCTCCCACTGGCCACGGTTCTTAAAATTACCCTATAAGCCTAAGCGCATGCTGGTACATTCTCAACAACATCACTGGCAACTGCAAGAACTGGGCATGTTGGGTCCCAGTGAACCTCATGTTCATGACAAATCAACCATGCATGCAGGTTCACCGGTTCTCGTTCTCCCACCCAACCATGCACACACACACACACAGACACCCTCCCTCGGGCCCTGGCTGGAAGACTTCCTGCTCTAAAGAACGGTCCCGTCTCGGATGGAAATCCGTCTCGTGGATGGAAATCTGTGGTCGAACATATTGGGTAATGCCGTAATGAAGTGGGGATTTTGCTAAGTTAAGTGGGACTAATGAAAAATGCCTTCTATTTGGAATATCACAGGTGATATTGCAAAACAAGCCTGCTTCAATGATACATATGCATCCACCCTGTAGCCTATGGCTGCTGGGCATCGCCATCTTTGGAATATGCGTCACCTAAAGCATCTGAAAACAGCTTTGGACCCCACAGCAATCATAGATTCCACTTCCACGTTTCTTTGGCAGAGGGGATCGTCTCACACTTCAAACACTCATTTTCTAGTAGCTACTATTGCAGGGAGGCTATCCTCTGCTTGACGAGCGTCACCAAGGGTGCAAACCTTGGACTATATGACTCTACTGTATAATCTTTTGACCGCACTACTTTCCCACAAATATCACCCCCTCCAGTCAGGTTTGGAAGACCCTCCACCAGATCAAACCGCCAATCGCTCCACCTGCGGGCCAATCCCAGATCGCTCCAACCTGATGAAGTGGGCCACTCGGATGCGTGGGCAGAAAAGTGCAGAAACTCTGGTGTTTTGCACTTATTGTGGCCAACGTAGCAGAGGTCTCCAGTTTGGAAACGGAAAAAAAGCTGTTGCTAGAGCAATGCTACATCATGAACCGCAATCTCATGGATGGAGAAGCCTTGCAGAAACTAACATGTTGCACCCGCGTGACATTTGTTTAAGGTCCTCTTCCCTACCCACCCACCGAATCTTGCAAGGATAGGACTCCCCACTTCACAAGGTCTGAGCGGAACCAAGATCGAGGTTTCTGAGATCCCAACTGGTGATCCCTCCCTTCGTCAGCAGCTGGCCCGGCACCATGACCTGGATTTCTTTGCACGTCGCCAGGTCACCAAAGCTCTGCAGGAGTGGTGAACGATTGGAAGAGGTTCAGAGGTTTCTTGGGGTGAAGGCGACAGGTGAATGCTTGGGAAGTGTACTATCTGTACATCAAAACGGAGCGGAACATCTTTCTATACTAGAAAATGACAAAATAACCCAAAGGATGCATTAACCCAAGCAGGTGTTAATGTGCGGCTAGTAGCAAGAAGCTACTAGTAACAAGGGCATCACTACCAGTAGCAAGAATGCTACTAGTAGCTCCTGGCATTACGGAAGATCATGTTCCTCTAAAAAGGGGTCCTGGTCAGCTTCCATGATTGTTGGAGGGAGGGTAATCCCTTGCAACTTCAAAGTGTCCTGACACCATGGCCAGTTCCGCGGTTCCGCCCACTCCTACTCAGTGACTCACATGGGCTCCTGAACAGACCACGCTTCCAAGACCCGAAGCTGGTGAGCTCCACTGGCCTCGTCTTTCTTCTTGCTCCGCGATGGTCGCCGCTGCCACGGAGACGCTGGCCCCTGCGAAAAGAGAAACGGCTGGCGCTCATTGCAAAGCGCACATCACACAAAGTAGATCCCAGTGTTTGCCAGTACATACGCACTACCTGGGAGAAGGGAGAACCCCAGACCAGTCTGGCTTGGTCAATTTTGTTCGCTTCTGCAAGAGCTCTTTGTTGGTGTAGGAGAACTTCTCGTCCCTCAACTGAACCTGCTGGAAGCTGTCTCTGGTTTTCAAACCTAGAAGTCATTGCGTGCTTTCTGGCCACATCGCTTCGTGGTGCAAACTACGACGGAGGTCTTAATACCTTTACAGTCGCTAACCACTGAATTTATCACTATCACTCACTATCAGACCCTCTAACGGTCCTCATTCATTCCACATATCAGATATCCATAGACCATCCAGAGGTTCTTTCTTCCACTGCGCTCCCTCATGTCCGTTACCCGACCTTGACGCTCTCAGCCTGTGGAGTTGCCTCGGTGACCACCACCCGCGGCTTGGGTGACTTGGCCTCCTTCTTCACGGGCCTTGCGCCCACAGACCGGCAGGGGCGAACCACATGAGATAGAAATGGGGCCATCACCCACGGCAGCCCGTTCCGAAAATTCAACAAAAAACAAGACATGATTCTTTGTTCGACCAGTCACCTTTTCCCATCAAAATGGCCACTGGGCCCGAACATCGCCTTGTTGAACGTCGACGAGTTGCTCTGTGGACTGGTGAACTGTTTGCTGGCAGAGACGTCTCTGGGGCCTGCGAATCATCAGGTGCCGCAGCTTCTTCGGCGAATCTCGCAGCGGCTCCACCAGCATTGTTCTGCTCTCCTGGACCCATTGCAATGGTCGAATAGGGCCAACAGGACCACCTTCCCTTCCCGCCAGGTAAACCGAGGGTCGCTACTTCAGAAACAGAATGGATCTGGCAGCTTTTGTACCCACAGTAGTTTGAAGCAGTGTAGACTAGCATGGGCGAGGGTATGACGCACGTTCCTGTTGCCCACCAAAGACAGAGCTTGATCAGTTCCTGCAAGAAAAGCAGTGTCAGGAAGCCTGCATCTTTGGGACGCAATAAGCGACATTCCCCTGCATTTGTCCTGGCACTAGGCTTGACCAAATGTCACCCTATGTACGCCCAAATGCAGCTTCCAACAACGATCGCTTCCACCTCCAGGCGCAAGGACAAGGATCGCGACCACTTCATCTTGGGCTCGTCCTCGACCTAGCTGCGGCGGGTCCACGTACCGTCACGTCCGGCTGCGGCTGGGGGGGGAAGGTCCGGTGCGGTCCGGTGGCTCCAGTGGTTGCAGGTGAGCGAAGATCAGATAGACTCTATCTGTGTCATGGATGGGGGTGGAATCATAGAGAGGTCGCTAAGCCCTCCCCTTCTATGCTGGCAAGTAAACCATGGCTTTCAAGATCACTTCAAGCTTTGTACACTTTGGTCTACCTTTCAGGGTTGTCAAGTGAATCAAGTCATCCAGCCGTCTCCCACTTCACCTCCTCCTTGGTAAAGGCTGACTGGGCACACCATCGGCTCCTGTAGCGCGGTTTACCAAAAGAAGCGAACAACGCCGCAATGTTGTTTATTCCCGTCAGCTAGCCGACCAATGCACCAAGACAAACGGAGGATGCCTTCAGACAACACACAAGGTATGGTTATGAAGGAAGACCAAAAGAATGTCACACACACACACACGTCGATAAGACTGAAAGCTGTGCCGGCATTGCCGCGTCCAAGACATGACCAAATGCAGGCGCTCTTTTTTTGGCCGCAGTTGTTGCAACCTCATGTGATGATCAGTTCCCTTCATCTTCTTATTTGTCTTCTTCTTCTTCTTCTTCATCATCATCATCATCATCATCTGCATCTTCTCCTTGACCGTTTCAACTGCAGTCTGCATAGCCCTTCCCGACTCGATGGAAAAGTTGGGCTGCCGACCGTTCACCCATTTGGAGGGACAACGACGTCGGTTGGATCATTCGGAATCATGTTGATGGCTCACCAAGGTCGACTGTTGATGGACACCAATTCCACAACGGTTTTCCTTTGGCACAAGCGTGTCATGCCATGCCACGACTCTGAAACGCTCACATATGCTCACTGCAACTGCATGCACCACGAGGTCGAAGTGCTACGTACTTTTGTATTGGTGCCATTCATGAGAAAGACAGCACATCCCAGGGATACATGTGTACAACAGGCTGCGACCCGTCAGCTCAGAGCTAGCTCTTGCGAGTCTGTGAGGTGCACCAGCCCTCAGGGACTGCTGACGTCTGCGGGGCGACAGCTGGGGAAGTGGAACGCGCTCCGTTGGCCGATTTCCGCAGCGCTCCACCCGAAGTTGGAATGCGAAAGGAGGGCCTCGGTATGAAAGGCCAGAACCCACCAAACCGCCCATGATTGAAGGATGCTCACCACCTCTGGACTCGATCGGTCAATGTGGGTCGGTCGGTCTTCCAGATACACCACCTTGCCCGCCCGGTGCAGCTGCTCCACCACCGGGTGCTGGCGTATCTTCAGGGTGTCGGACGCCAAGAGCCAGGCGGAGCCCGGAAGCTTCAAGTGGCTTTCCACCGAAGCGGCACAGCGCAAGGCCAGGTCCAGGTCGCTCAGCGCGTGGCGCGCCGGGTCGGACCAGGTGGTCTCGTTCCCCGCACGGAAGTGGATGCCCAGCAGCTGACGGCCTTGCATCTGTCGCAGGAAGTTGGAGACCAAGGAGCTGGGCATTGGAGCCAAGGAGAAGAGGTCCAGGAAGAGTCCCGAGAGCAACCCTGAACGTGCAAAGGCCCAATCACTTGATGTATCATATCTCAAAAGGGCCTTAAACAGCCGCAAGTTCGAGGCAATACACACCACCTCGGAGTCATCTTCCATGAAGAGTTGGATGTCATCCTCCAAGCTCTTCGGATCTTCCGCGGAGGTCCACCGGTACGTCACGCAGGCGCTGGACACCGCGGGCCAGGGCCTTTTGCGCGGATGTAGCAGGCTCGGCAGGGGCAGCGGCGTGCGCATGTCGATGAAGAAGGAGCGACCAGACAGCAGGGCCGCCAAATAGGCCGATAGCAGCCCAAAGAGGCGATCTCCATGTCCACCACAGAAGGTACTGTGAAGACCTGAAGCTGCGACGACCATCCACCCAATGAAGAAACCGGCCACCATTTTGTTGTTTATTTATTGATGTTGTTGAATATTTTGAGCGTCTGTCTTCACAGTTCTTGGCCAATCAGAATAACGTGTGAAAGAAAGGGAAGTTTGGGGGAGGCTGCGATGGTGACTGAGTTGGTACCTTCTCGTGTAAAAAATGCACCATTTCAAGCAATTCAAGGCAATAATTTTGGAATTGCAAAGTCGCTGAATTCGTCAATGATGGAATTCAAATATACAAATATATTAGCAAAAAAACAATTGTGGTAAGATATATCCAAATCGTATTATTTCATGTTCTATTGAAGGATGAAATAACCTTTGATTGTCCTACAGTAAATCTTTTAATATTGGTAGATTCTATTCAACTGGTATCATGAGTATCACCAGTATCACCCACCAGTTGTGTTGGTTTCCGGAGGGTGCCAGTGTTTGCGGACAACTATATAACCACTCACAGCGATCTGTTGTTGGCACCCAGCAGCATATGAAGATCACCGCCCGCGGTGCAGCTGGCCGATCCAACACCTTTCGGTCGAAGGGAGGCACCACAGGCGCTGACATGCATCCTGCAGGGATTTGTCCCTGAAGTAGTTGGCTCACCTCAGGGACCGTCCAGCGAACCATGGTAAGGTGAACCTTAGCATCCATCGTGAGGAACATGACTATGGTCACGGGATTCTTGATATTTGCCTACATACTGAATATGAGAACTATGGTCGTGGGATTTGAAAGTGAGTTGTTTATGCGGGCTGGTGATTTGCTCCAGCTTGGTTCAGGGCACATTCCAAGGAATCTTGGTGAAACTGCAGCCATGCAAAAGTGGTAGATCACAAGAAAAATATTCCAACGTCGATCACCCTTCCATCCCCGCACCCGGTCCTTCTTCCCCACCTCCACCGGTCCTTCACAGCACAACCGCTGGGCGCGGTTGACACCGGAGGGTGCACCCGGCAGTGCCACTGAGCTGCCGGGCCACGCGTAGGGGAACTTCCGCCACATGCTCGAAGCCTCGTGGAGCCCTGCGGTCACCACCGCCCAGCCGGCGCTCCGGAGCTGCTCCAGGTCGGCCCAAGTGCGGTCGGAGTCGGTGTGGTCCAGAGTGATCAGGATGGAGGGCTTCGGTAGAGACGCTGGGAAAGGAATCTCCTGTAGATGTGTACATGGAATCGGGAACTGTGCTGGACATGTTGAACCAAGCCTGTAGACCTTTCTTCCATACCAGCAAAAAATCCAGACAAACTGCCCCCAAAGACCCCAAACCAAAGGAAAACCAATCTCCTGAATTCGGCCTTCCAAGGGTTCTGAGAGCTGTGGAAGATCAGACTCTGTTTGCAGGATGTAGGAGAGGCTTTGGAATTCTCCCGCTAAGGCCGTCATGGCCACGGCGATCGACTCCATCCATTGCCTGACCGAGCGCATCCGATCCACCGTGCCGGCCCTCCGCACGCTCACGTTCACCACATTGGAGGGAGCGGCCAAAGACTTCCACCAATCTGGTAGGCATGGCTCCCAGGAGGGCAGGTCATACCTGTGATTTCGCGGACGGTTCAAAGCTTTTTTGCGGCTGTTGGAGGTTTCTTGGAAAGTCATGTTACATTTGGTTTACATTACACAACGACCAATCAAACCCATTCTGACGAATCTGTGTCTCCATGATCCACCGATGCCCACCGATGCCCGACTCAACCGCTTCGCCCTTCCGCCTCAGCTGGCCCAGGCGTCGCAGCACCGCCTCCAAGTCCCGGCGAACCACGCGGAAGATCTGCTGCGAGCGCTGCTCCTCCGCAGCCCAGCAGACCTGGCGAAAAAAGGTCAGGTCGCACGGTCGCGCCATGGTGCGAGGTGAGGACGCCAATGAAATCGAGGGGTGAAAGGACCAAATTTCTGCGTGATAGCTGTCGGGAACGTGCTCTGGTGGTTTCAAATGTGCTTTTAGATCGTTTGGAACTCGGCGACAGGAATCTGGGATGAACCACTCACCGCCTCTTTCAAAGAAGGTTTCTTTGAGTCCAAACCACCGCAAACAGCAGCACACAACTCAAGGCCCAGCAACCTGTAAAACATCACCCCTTTGTCCGCCGAAGTGCATCTCCAATTGCGGCAAAGGAAAATCCCCCTTTCCTTTGACAAACCAAATCTCCAATACACTGTCATTCTGCAAAAACACCTCACCTACTAACTACTCTGCACCGCGAAATAGTCCATCACAGCTCACCGACCCCATGGTTTCTCAAATGAAACTCCTTTTCCACAGACACCAGAAGCTCAACTCAAAAGGCCAAAGGCCTTGGATACCGCTGGAAACACGTGTGTTCCCTTCCTCCAAGACCCGGCATCACGAAGAGAGCAAGACCCGGCCCCCACCTGGCAGGAGAGGTCCTGCATCCCGAAGCGTAAGATCTCCAGGCCTCCGATCGCCAGCACCCGGGCCTCGCTGAAGCTCCCAACGAGGAACTCCAGCGCCTTCGCCATGGCACCGCAGCGGCGTCCGCGTGAAAGGTCGGTGCGACCTTGGAGAAAGGAGCGCCTAAGGAGTTGAAGCATGGATGATTACCTTGAGTACCTATTGTATCCTATTGTTAATATTAATATGTGTTAATATGGCACGATATGGCTAAGATGCGGCTTCGATCAGGTTCCTTTCCCTCGTCTGGTGATGTTGCCCAACATGGATCTTCAGATCTTCAGTGCTTGTATTCACCCAAACGTTCGGGGTACAGCCTAGCCTTGGCCTAGCTCGGAGAAGACCAAGAAGATCTACCACAAGAGACGGTTCTCAAAAGGGGCTGGTGGCACTCCAAAGAGAATTCGTTGGATCTTTGGTCACCAAAGAAGAAGCAGTTCCGAGATCGCCTTCCTGCCCTTCCCGCAGCGAAGCTTCACCGAAGGAAACATCTCTGTCGGATTTTTGTTTCTAATAGCAAATATTGTTACTACTAGTAAGGCACTTGTTACTAGTAGCGATGCACTTGTTCCTAGTGCAAACGAAAACATCAAACTCCCCCAACCTGACCGGTGCCGAGCTACTGAAGGAATCCATCTGGTCCGCCGCTTCGTTGAGAGCCCTCTTTCGGTAGATCAGCACCTGACCAAATGAGGCCCCGGACCAAATGATGATGGGTACAGTAAGATGTACCTGAATGTGCCTTGTAAATAGAGTAGTTGTAGCAAAAAAAGCAGCCCTGAAACTGGATTTGAATCGTTCTTTTGCCTGAAACAGGCCCTTCAGCCAGGCTTATCCCACTTCAACACCAGCAGTTTCTGCACCCCTCAGTTCGACAAATAACAAAATCACTCGTGAGACTCTTGTGCAGACTCGTGTCTACACCTCTTGAAGTCGGTTCACGAGTTTGGCCGGGGCAGTTCGAAATGGAAAACACTGAGAACGAATGAGGAAGACTGAAGAGGAACACGCCAATCACCCAGTTGAAAATGTCCACTGATTAAGTGACTAAGTCATGCGCCTCTTGTGCAACCTCCATGGCGCATCGGTGCCAAACGGCTCTCCTTCAAAGGGTTCTTCATGGACTGTTGGCTTACTCCTGGAGTCTTGAAGAAACCAAGTGGAAATTCCAGCGCATACCTGGAGTTCTTAGCAGGGCGGCCCTCACATCATCCAAGCTCCCGCGATCGCCTTCTCCCCATGCTCTCGCAGCTCGACCAGCTCATCGCCACAGCAGAAATAGCTTTGGTTCACATGGGGGAGGCATCCAAAGTGCCAATCCCCCTCCATGTACCTCAGCTCTTTTCAGCGTCCAGTGTTCAGTTGGTGTTTCTTCCTATCATTTTGATCAGCTCTGTTCCTCATCCGAGGAACTGAGCGTTCGCCCGTGAGCACCATGGAAGATTGACAGCCAAACCCTCGATCGCCATCGCTAAGCCATCATTGCACCAGGGGTAGCCGTCGATGACTCCACCGCACAGCCCGGACTGGATAGTCTTCTGGAGGCTACAGTAGTATTCGGGTCTGTTCAGTTTAATCTGGTCGCCTGTCATGCTAGGAGCATGCAATGCCTTGATGGCTAATTGAAAACCAAGGTTGGTAAATGATGGCTTGCTGTCGCTTCGCCAAACAAAGCCAAACTCCACGACATGACCGATACGTTTGATGGACGAACGGTCGTCCAGCACGATGAAGGCGACCAAAACCCAAGTGTTGCATCCCTTTGCTAATTTGCATCGGCAAAATTCATCCTGGGATCAAGAATCGAAAACATCATTGCAATGACGTACATCGGCAAACCACGCAAATGCCATATGGTTGTGGAATGTTGTGGAAGAAAATGCCCGATGGTTGGGGCATAGAACGGGTGTATTGGCCATCCGTGTGGCCCAGATGTGAGGCCGACGCGACAGCGACCTCCGGTGCGAACCCAGAAGACCCTGCCAGACCCGTCTCTTGTTGATCTCGAAAGGAAGGTTTCAGATTTCTTCCCAAGGCACCCCTTGGGACCATTGGTCATGCCCTTGGGGCGCTTGGCTGTGGATTCCTGCAGAAATTCCCACCCCCTCGTTTTTGCGGAGTCCTTGATCCTCGCGTCTTCCAATCAACACCTCTGGCCTTAGGAGGCGCGAAGAATGTACAGTGAAGTTGGTCGATCGTACTAATCCGAAACTCTCTCAAGATGACCCTCATGACACTTGAACCGTCTTGAACCATCTTCCTGCACAAAAAAGAAGGACCACAAAAGCAAAGTAAGGATCAGTGGACACCGGCTCGCCATCTCGCGCCCATGTTTGGGTGGGTTCTAGTCAGCCAAGACAACTATATTTATATATATAACTGTAACTAATGAAAACGGAAGGAACAAAGGAAGGGGAAAAACAACTCCAACGGATTCCAAACGTCTTGACATAATAAATAAACACATAAATATGAACGAGTGAAAACGAATGAATGAAAACGAACGAACGAACGAACGAACGAACGAACGAACGAACGAACGAACGAACGAACGAACGAATGAATGAATGACTGACTGACTGACTGAGTGAGTGAGTGAGTGAACGAACGACCGACCGACCGACCGACCGACCGAACGATTGAAAAACAAAACAAAAATCAATAGAACTGTGTTTTCTCACATCCTGTCCAACTCATGGACCTCACCTGACGTCCGAAGAGGCTCATTTCCGGCGTCATCTGGGCCCCGACCAAGCGCGGGCACCGATCATCTGGAAGCCTCGGGCTCAGGGACGAGAGTCGGTGGGGAGTCCTTGGTCATGTGGTCTTAGGTGATTTCAGACCCCATTACTACTAGTAAGGCACTTAGTTACTAGTAGTAAGGCACTTGTTTCTAATAGCTTCTTGTTACTACTAGTAAGGCACCTCTTACTAGAAGCGATGCACTTGTTCCTAGTCTTCGTGGGGCTTGAGAGCCAGACCTTCTGGCGGTGAAATCATTTGGATGGCCATGGCCATGTCGGGTGCCGTTGCTCCGTGTGCTTCACACAAGTCCCGGAAAGACCCAAGGAATTGTCTGGGATCACGCACGAGGGCGATGGCTGGAGCTCCGCATGTTCCGTGTTCTCCGTGTTCTCAGCCTTCTCCTTTCCTCGCAGTGGTTTCTTGGAAAGACCCTGCTCCTTTTTTTCTCCCCCTTTGAGGGGTGTTGAGGGGTGTTGAGGGGTGAGGAGTTGGCCAAAAGGGATCGAAACAAGTCCATCTGTGCATCTGTTCGTTCACTTTGCCCGTCCTATAGGAGAGGGCGTCTCTCATTCAAAAGTGTCCTATTCAGGTGAGGTATTTGGAGAAGTCCAATGGGTCTTACTCATAGTCTCACCACTTACCTGGAGGTCCCTTTACAAGCAGGTCCGGCACCGCCTCCGCAGCTGGCACAAGCTTTCAATGATTTCTTTCCTTTGGTCCACATCAACGCCCGACTTCAGCCGATGTCCCTCCTGTTTCCCGTGTGGAACCACACCGGCCCCCCCCCCCGCTTTTCCCCGGATCCCGGTGGATTCCGCTCCTTCGGCCTCCACGGCGAGTGGGACCAGCTGGGCGAGATCCTCCGCATGTCGACAGATGTGATGAAACCTGGGAGGCGAGGCGACGGAGGCGACGGGGTCACATCTGCCTCACCCACGAGATCTGCCATCCAAACGAGGAGGGATCTCAACGAGGTGAGATCTGTCACGACCACATGGAAGTGGAGATCCTGTTTTGTAGAGGAAAATGGTCATCCAAGGGGTCATTGTCCGCTTCCATGATTACTTCAGGGAGAGTAACCTGTACGTTCCTTCCAAGGAGGCCCCCCCCCATACCAAGAAACAAGGCAGTGTCGTGTTTAGAACAGTGATGAATCAAAGAAAAACAAATATATAACTTTGCAGAAACAGTTCATTCGCAGATGCCTCAGGGGTTGAAGGGTTTGGTCCGTCTTCCATGAAGCGATAAGTTTGCCTCTCACAGTCTGAATCTGGAGTTACCCAACAGGCAAGAGTGCCAGGCATGGCCAAGAGGCTGTGGCCAAAAATCTTCCATCCTGGAGATGAAAAAGAACAAGGCCCAGGATGACAAGCAGTGGGGCCCTTGGCTAAGTCTGGTCACTACCAATCAAATATCGATACTATCTATCATCCCACTACAATGCAAGTGTAAGTCACACCACTGGCCACGCTTCTAGGAAGAGCCACACAAAAACTGCAGCCCGGAGCAGGGCAGACCTCGCCATGGCACCTTTAAGCAAAGATTCTGAGAGTCCCAACCTTTGGATCTTGCTTGCAAAGCTTTCCTGGCAACCGTGTCTTTTTTTTCTGAACACCACCCGCACTGATTGGAAGATCGCATATGTGTCAAGAAGCCTGTGTGCCAACCCTGGAAGATGTGGAAACGTCACGGGCAATGGGAGCTTCGTCGCTTTCAAAGATCTGAGAACTACACAGGGTCATCTAACTGAACAGATATGTCAAGACGCCTCAAACATCGAAAACCGTCCATTCACCAGCACATCCATTCTGGCAGCTGCTAAAAAACCGTCCGACCCGGACGGCCCGGGTCCCGGCCCGGCCGGCTGTTCGGCCTTGTTCTCAAGGATCCGATGAGCCTTCAGGGTTTCCACCACAAAGCGCCGACGCCAACACTGCGCGGAGTCCTCCTGAGTGGAAGAAAACCTGGTGGTAGAAGGGTGCTGATGGCATCCATTCGTTTGGGATGGACACTAATGATAGAAAAGAGTGTTCTCCCTGAAGATGCATGAGGTGGAATTTCATTTGCAGTAGGTTAATTTGTATTCTCTATCTGGAGATCTCGGGGGAACTAAGGGGGTTTTGTACCGTACAAGGTGTTGCTAGGAAATGCCTTGCTGCAGTCAGGGCCGCTGGACACCCAAACCCGGTTGTCCACAGAAAACCACCAACTCTGGGTTCACTTGAGGACTTGCATTTTCCAGCAATTAGACAGATGCTTCTGTTTTCCAAAATACCTTCGTCTCCCTGAATATAGTTCCTGCAATTCAAAGCGTCAACCCCCCATCACCGCTTCAAGCTCTCCACCAGTGTCCCCATCCCGTCCCGATCTCACTGGCAGCCGCATCTCCGTCCCGATCCACACGGCCTCTCCTTCAATTCCTCGGCCTGGCGCAGCAGCTCCACGATCTCCCAGGCCCTCTGTCGCCAGGTCGGACCGAGGCCTCGGTTCGGCCCCAGTCGAAGGGATCAATGCTTCGGAACAGAAGCACCGGGTTAGGTTTTTTGGGGGGGGTTAGGGTGAATTCGGGGTTCGGAACATGGAGACACCCAAGCTACAGGCTGGGGGTCTGTTCTTGCGTTTTGCTCCCTTTCAATTTCAAGCGGATGTGATCCAAAAATGGCACCCTCCAGTTTCTTTGTTAGAAAAAGTTAGAAGCTATGCTGAAACATTGTACTTCAGAGAGCACTGGATAGATGTTCAAGGCAAAACCTGTCGAATTCTGTGTTCGATCAACTTTCCGTTCAAGCCAAATACTGCTGGCAAAGTTCACCCGGGAAGTTCCATCCAAGAAAGTAATGCAACCAAAGGCAGTCCTTCTGCAAAAGACTTCCTTTCCCCTCTGGAAGTTTTGGAGCTTCTCTTGTGCCTTCTTCCAAAAAGGAACTGGTGTTTTTGAGTGAATCTGAGATCTGTGTCCAATGTGGCAGTGTAAGGACAAGAATCCGAACACATAACTTAATCGCAGAATCGCTACGTGATGAAACTGTCTCACTTCAACCTGACATCGTGCCAGGGGTTCTTCGTATTGGCATTATGTCGTTGCACGTCATGATCGCTGCAGGCCGTTCAATCTGCAAGCGTTTGTTGCTTAGCTGGCTGGAGGTTGAAAAGGATTGAAAGGAAGTGCCACAAAGCGACCAAAAATGCATTATACACATAGAAGGTCAAGAGTGCATACCTATACAATACACATGTATATGTATATATTATTACATTATATATATATATAGACACCTGAAGCCACTCGGGAGCAAGTAGGGTTGCAAACCACTTGGCACATCTCTTGCATCGCCAAAGGCACCGTACTTGTTAGCATTCGCTCTCTTCTGAAATCTCATTGCCACCTTCCGCGAAGCAAAGGCTCCAAGACAGAGGCAGTGCCATGTCTCTATGCTGGACATCAAAGACATGGCATTCACGGCGACTTGTGGATGGACGGCTGTCAAACGGACGTTTGGGTGTTGCACGATCTCACGGATCACGGATCACTCGATGCCTCCGTCAAAGCTGCCTGAAGATTCTCGGAATTCATGGCCTGCATTGGCCAAATGGGGATCCGCTAGCAGTCTACCAGGAGGTTTGAGGCAATGGGTTTGACCTCTGGCAAGCTTGGTGTATTTACTCGGGATACTCAAAGTCAGTAAAATCTCTACTCAGACTCAGACTGTTTAAAGGCTCGCCAGTGCTCTTTGGTCCAGCAGGCCAACTGGTCGAGAAATTCTGAGCTCAACCACTACCTTCAATATTTGGGCCTTCAATCACATCTGCAGTCCCAGGGCGATCCTACCGCCGGAATTTCTCGTTGAAAATGGTAGAATTCTTGTCACGAAAATGGGTGGATAATTCTCACACTCGTTGTGGCTCCTTTTGATGCCAGACATCTCCCTGGGTCAACCTTCGGCGAACCACGCAAAGCACGTGACTGAAAGATGGTTTCATTGCCTCATCACATGAGAGGTCTCTGTAGAGTGGCTATGATAGTCAGTTCCACTCATGTGGCTCTTCAAACCGCCCTACCCCCGCGGTGAGAAAGAACGCGCTCTTCAGTCCATCCGGCTTTGTGCAGTCCCGGTGCGGTGCGTGGAGGGGGCCTCGACCATCTGGAGGTATTTCACATTCACCTTCTGTCCACTCAGCAAGCGCCTGACCGGTGCAGAGGTCGGTCCGTTCTCTTGGTCACCCATCGGTGGTTCGGTCCACCCGGACCGCAGCGAAAGAGGAGTTGAAAGCCGAAAGGTTGTTTTAGTCCACACTGATCACAATGCCCCGGACATTGACCCCTGAAACAGGTGTCTGGTGGACGTTTCACAACCACGAGTTTCTCGCGCGAGTCATCAACCTCTGTGCTTATCACATAGCTTCACACCTCTGCTGTGCTGCTGTCATCAACTCTAAGATGGGCTCTCCTTTGCGTGCCTCGCGTCGACAAAAAGGCGGTCTCCACACCAATGCACGAAGGGCTTTACAAAGCTGATATCTTTGGTGAGTAACCAAAAAGCAACTCCGAGCAAGCTGGTGAGTTTCCCCCAAAGGGTCCGATGCACCTGTGCTGAAGCCTCTAAAGAAGCAACGAGAGACCCTTGCTAAAGAGCAGCAACGAGAGGTGGCACGGATCTGCTCAAGGCTTTAGTAAGTCTCCACGTTTCTTTTGCCGTTGCTGGATCACTGGAAGGGAAATCAACAACACACTCAAGTCTCTGACATTCGTCCTTCGGCCAAGAAAGGTCTCTTAATACCTACATAAATCTACCACCCGCAGGGCTGCAAAACCGGTCTACCACTCCTGCACTATTGCTCTGGCCACCACGTCGTTGATCCAGCCAGACCGCGGCCTGGCGGAGATGGGAACAATTCTCTGTGGATTTGGAAACCTGAGCACCAGATGGATGTGGCTCGGAATGTAAGACCCAGGGCAAGGGAGTCTTTAGCCGCCATCTTTGCCATTCTCCAGGCGAGATTGAGGACGCCGTATACAACCTTCGGGCTTTTACACCCTCGAATCGAACCTTTCTATGCCCCTCTGCCCCATGAACTTCAAGTGCCGGGCTGTTCAGGCGGTAGCTTTCTTCGTTGGGCCACCTCCTCCTCGACAGCGTTGGCCCACACTGGATTCTGGACGGGGACGGGGTCGTGGCTTGGCGAATTTGGGCGACTGGCCTAAAGGCAATGCGTTTTGGTGTCAGGGAAGTCAACCACTCCTTTTGGAGGTTTCTGACTAATGCAAGGCTGAAGATTTGCTTCTCAAACGGTCTTCGCCGGTCATTGGTTCATTCGAAGTCCCCTTCTTTGAGCGCTTTCAGGTTTGAACGATTGCTGGAGCTGGGTGTCAGCTGCCAAATCTTAGACATCGCCTCCCAGCCTCGGACTCTCCACCAATCGGTCCTCTGCTCCGTGGTCTTCATGCAAAGATGACAGCAAGCCTCCGAAGCCTGGGGGCCGAAGGAAGGGCGAAAACGCACAGCCTCCCTCAGCTGATTCCCTTTCTTCCCGAAGGGGTTTTGGACCTCTTCTTCATAAACACCTCCCCTGGGAGCTGTTGATTGTGCACCCAACCCGGCCAAGTCTTGACATTCAGCCACGCTGAGGCCACCCACACAGCGCTCCACCCGCAGGCCTCCTGAAAGCGGCAGTCCAAGTGAACGAAGGATTGAGAGTCTGGGGTGATTTGAAGTGCACAAACTGAATCACTTTTTGGGGAGGAGCGGTTTTGACAGGCAGGTTTTGCTGGTCACTGATTCATTTGGGGCAGGTTTGCAAGGAAAAGCTCCGTGATGTCCATAGTGTAGATAAGCGGACAACAACATCTGCTTGCCCGGGGTCATGGGGGTTGATGCATTTGACCATCTTGTCTGACTGGAAGCGCTCCATTTCTTATGCTAAAAAAAACCCTTGTGAATCGGGCGATGTCACACACTCTCTTTCAAAAAGAAGTGCATCAAGGCAAAGAGGCCAAAGAAGCATCCTGAAACCACAGTCAACAAGGACGCTACTAGGGGCTCCTGGCATCGCTACTAGGAACAAGAAGCTACTAGGGGCTCCTGGCCTTACTACTAGGAGCAAGAAGCTACTAGGAGCAAAGGGCATCGCTACGAACGGAGCAAGGAAAAGGGACTTTGGTGTTTGCCTTCATCTTTTAAGGCTCTCCTGCAAAAGAAGTGAGCCATGTCAGCGTGACACTCATGCCGTAGCCGTAGCCGCAAAGGCCCTTGCCTATATCTCCTGCAAAGTGAAGTGCTCCTGAGGTTACAGGATGTTCACAATGTCAAAGGTGTTTTTTGTGGCCAAGGCATCCAATGTATATTATGTTTCCGTGTTTGTCCCTTTTGATCTTTGATGTTGTTCCTTCATCCAAACCCCGGTCTTTCGTCGCATTGTGCTGAAACACCTGCGGACATCTCTCATGCACGGACCTACAGCAGCGACTTCTTTCTCGAACAAAAACGACCTCGACGACTCGCCTTCGACGCACACGAAGTCGGAGCTCATGCGGCTCGTGAACTCCGCTCGTGAACTCCCGGGGGCGGAACATGCCGTGGAATGCAGCAAGTGCAGCTCGCGGAGGGTCGAGGCCTGGGCTCCGCGTTCACCTTTGGAACGGCGCGACGCTTTGGTCGGGGCCTGCGGCGGCTGTTACGCTCACTCTCGAGCACCTCAGCCCGGCAATAACAAGAGAGGCAGTGTTCTTGGAGAAGTCCCAAACAACTGCCCTTGTGACTGGTGCAGATTGGCCACTAGTTTCGTTCAAGGAGCTGAAGAACTGACTGGAGCTCAAGTCATCATGCTGCCTGCTTGTGCGAAAGCACAAGGTGGCCATTTCCTGTGGGGTCATAGCAAAAGCCCACCGTTCCCATCATCCGATATCGGGCTCGACAGCTCCAACGTTCCAGCGACGACGTCTGTCCAGTCCAGCAGCTGAGTTCCTCGGGTCGCCTACTTCTGCCACCTCTACCTGGTGGGCCTAATGCCTAATGACGATGAGGGCTCCTCTTACAGACCCCCCTCCCTGTGAAAATGGACGGGTACAGAACCGAGCCAGAAAGAAGCACTAGCTTTTGCATGCGAGCTGCTGGACTGTTTCTTGTCCACCACAGCAACTTGACCTCATCTCAAAGAAAACAGCATTTCCAAGTAGTTGATGGCAGATCAAACTGAAAGCTGTCTGTCAGGGTTGTGGCAAGGCATTCTTCCATTGTTTTCATGCCATCAAAACCATCTCCCTGTCGATTCAGGAAACGTTACTCCTGTGAGCAAACCACCCGGCCGCAGCCTGCAATGCCAACCGATGAGATCGCCACACCGACCCAGCCCCAGAAGGGAAGGCCGTCACCTGTCCGGTATGTGAAAGAAAGAAAGAAAGAAAGGTCGCCCTGTGAGCCTGTGAGCGTGAAAACCAGAGTGTCACAGAAGCCAGGTGTCCCTATTTAGTAACAATAAGCTAGTAGTAACAAGTGCATCGCTACTAGTAACAAGTGCCTTACTAGTAGTAACAAGAAGCTAGTGTAAAAAAAATCATGTCACCGGCGACGACCTGCTCCGGCCCGATGGACCGAACCGTCGAAGCAGCCGGACGAAAACGGTCACACCTTCGGCGACCGAGATGAGGACCGAGAGGAGCTTCCGAGTGGTCGTGATGGCCGAGCACACCACACCTGGGGAGAAAAACAGCAAGTGGTCCAAAAAGGTGCCAAGGCAAGTGGATCATGTGGTGAGAACCGAATTGATACTCTATGAACCTTCATGAACCTTCATGAACAAACAACCTTCCGGAACCTTCTACCTGTAAGATGAGCGCCAAGGAAACTAAGCTTTACAACGTCGGTTCTTCCGCACACGCGCTTCTTCAAGGCGAGTCTCTGTCGAAGTGAGCGATGGTGTAAAAGACACAGGCCTGACAACATGCCGAACGAACAGTTGACCAAGCAAGTCCTTAACAGCAAGCAAGTCTCTACAAAGTACATGGGCAGGCTGTACCCCACCGTGGTCCATTATAACTGTTGTCTGACGTGACAAACCAACAAAACGAAAGAACGTAGGACCGCAGTCGATAATGCCAATGCTATGCACTTGATCTCAGAGCAACGATGCTTGGAATGTGAAACCGCCCTCTCTTCACACCCCACAACGAAGGCCGCTCTAGGTTGCGAAGAACCATATGAATTGTACAGAAAGGCAAAAACAACATCAAGTGGTCGAAGCTCTAAAAGCCAGTCACAAACCATACTCTAGGTACCCCTAGGGCAAGCTCTGCATAAGTTCCTCCAAAGTAGCAGCGACTGAAAGTCTCTTGAAAATGTGTGATCTGAAGTTCTGCAACACTGCTGTACCCATTGGTCAAGATCGGATTCCAGAATCTGGATGCTTGCTCATCCACATTCTTTACAATTCCTACTGCATTGTAGGAACAGAGATGTCTGGAGATTTAGACCAGTTGCTCGCAGATTCGGGTAGGGCTGGGGGTGTTCATCAACGCTTCAGTAGTGCACAACCGTGCGTTGTAACTCCGACAAGCATGTCTCTGTGACCAAGTGTGGCTGAGGAGCAGTGAAACATGTTGTTCGGAGTACTCTATCACTCTACCCTTCAAGGAGAACATGTGAAGGCTTCAACTAAAGCACTGATTCCAAATGATTCGAACTCAAAAAGGCTTCTCTGCTCCTTGCCTCTCCCTCTCCCATCCGGGCCTGTCCCAATGCCCCACAGGTGGCAAACTTCAAGATCTTTCCCGCCAGCCGCGGATTTTGCAGACAGAACCTCGACCCCTGGGCAAACGGATCGGCTTCTTCTCGCGGATCGGATCCGGATTCGGATCGGCACACAGCCCAGGTGAAACCAATCAAACGACCCGGAGCCGAACGAGCACTCCCCGTGCTTTAAAGAGGCGTCCTTTTTATGCAAGGGTCTGAAGTCTCGTTGTCGGCTGTTTTGGGAGCTGTGGTGACAGAACCATCCAATCATTAAACCCAATTGTGGGCGGGCACCGTATATACACCGTAACAAGGGCTACTAGTAACAGGTGCATCGCTACTAGTAGCAAGAGTGCTACTAGTAACTTTGCACCTTGATTTCCCACATCTTCCCGCCGGTCTTTCGGGCCTTTTCTTCCTTCTGCCACGCTTGGAACAAGCCACCACACCACCGGACCGGCGATCGCGGCGACCCGATGCAGGCCTCCCTCATCTCCGAGCGCGCCAAGGCAAAGAGCAGGGATGCCCCAGCCTCGAGCGGCCAAGGAATGAAGGATCTGTGTCTTTGCAACGAGACGTGTGGAAAGGAACCGGCGTGAAAGGAACCGTTCCACCATATGCTGTTCTGGTCGAAAGGGCGACGATCCATGAAGTGCTTGCAGGTTGATGGAGACCGATCGCGACGTAAGCACTTCTTCGTGCCAGAACCCACAGAGATATAGACAGTGCTCAATGCCAAGAGGTCACGACGTAAGCACTGTCCGAACTGCAGGCAAGGTGCCATGTACAGATTCGTCCAAAACATGAGATCCTCGGTCTGCTCACGCTTCACAGACTCTAGAGCATGAGTTTCCAGTGCCTCGGAAGAATTACTGCAAGTGACAATATTACCTACTAGATCCTACTATATAGTTGTTTATGAAGAGGCTTCATATAAGGCATCTATATAAGGGAATTTACTACCAGGCAGTATTCCTTTGAAGGATGCTGGAAGGATGAAAAGCCATGCGTCCATTCCGTCCATTCCCCGGACCGCTCTGAGATCACCACGTAATGATGAACCTGGTGGGACGGTCGACTCCAACAGGTGGTTCCGTTCGACTCCGCGTCCTCCAGTCGAGCCTTACTAGTCATGCCAGGAGCTCCCCTCCGGACTCGTAGCGATGCCTTTTGCTCCGGACTCGTAGCGATGCCTTTTGCTCCGGACTCGTAGCGATGCCTTTTGCTCCGGGCATGCAAGTAAAACGAACTTCTCTAGAACTAAGAAGCTATTAGAAACAAGAAGCTATTAGGAACAAGTGCATCGCTTCTAGTAACAAGTGCCTTACTAGTAGTAACAAGAAGCTATTAGAACTAAGACTTCACCACCGGTTTGGTATTCGGATTTCATGGTCATCCTTTCGGTGCCATGCCATCCAAGTAACCATGATGGCTTCAGGGAGTATGAATTCCTCTGAAGCAGTTGTTGGTTCACCACATGGCTGAGTCCCACATGGTGGCCATCTCTCAATCTTTCTTTTGTGTGGTTTGGAGCTCTGACGGGGTATCCCTGGAATCCGGCTGAGCGCACAATCTCAGAGATGTCATTGTAGGTATCTGATTTCCAACTCCAGATTGAACAATTTATGGTGCAATGCGCTCCGCATAAAGGGCAAAGTACAACTGAATACGGATACACTGCCCCAAAAGAGCATAGCCACCGTAGCCTCAGGAGTCGGCAAGACTGTCCTCCTCTAGCAGGTTGGAGCCTATCTTGGTTTGTTAGGGGCATAGCCTATATGCTATCGGGGGTTGAGTGCAAGATTGGCTTGACGACCAAACCTTCTTTTTGAAAGCTTGGCCCTCACAAACTGCCTTGACGTCCAAGAAACATTCGGCCCTCACAACCAGAATTCCATCCACAGTCGCTTCAATCCTAAGAACCTTCAGAAAGGGCTCGCTTCGGCCTGCCCTCGGCCTTCACCCCTTCACTGCCCTCGGCCGTTTCGCCTTTTTCTTTTCCGTCTTGCACCGAGCCTCAGTACGCGATGCACCACTACACACGGGGTCTTCCATCGAGACAGGAAGAGACCAACGTGGTAGTCAAGATTGATCCACGAAGAGAATCTATCCATCAATTCATCGAATGGATCTATCGTCGAATGCCAAATTTCTCCATGGATATCCATGAGATATCCATAGATCGATCTCATCTAGCTCTCAATCTGCTGAAGAATTTGGGTCTCCAAATCATCACGTCTCCAGCATCCCCAGCTTTGAGCCATCCCAGGTCTCGCTGCGCCCACCCACCAGGCCTTGAGGCGTCCCTGCAAGCCACTGACCACACCTGATGAAGCGCGGACGTGGATGGAGCGCTCGTGGTTGGAGAGACAAAAAGATATCATTTAAAAACAAATGGCTGAACAACCGTGAGGTCAGTGAGGTCCAACTGATCATTGACATGTTTGCTTTGAAGTTGCACTGATTAGTTGGAGCACCACTAGTCGTACCCTGTGCCGTACCCACTTACAACTAGAAAACGTCCTCTTCTGTGGTGCTGCTATCCCGTTACAAGCCGCCTTCGGTGGGGCAAGCAAATGCCAGCGCAAAAGCTGAATCAAGTGAAAACCTGCTGTTTGCACTACCAATGGAACCTCCACTTGCCAAAAGTATACCACTGCGAACAAAGGATTGTATGAGCCGGAGACCATGCAAGTCACTACGCACATCTCTCCTGCAGGTTTGTTGCAAACAGAGGATTTAGGTGGAGTATGATTCCTGACACGATCCTCCCAAGAAGCAACCAGGTGTCCAGGCCATCAAAGAAGAGTGAGCTCAGGATGAAGAAGATCCCCATCTTCGTGCTGGCACCCGTCTTCTGCAGGCGATCATGCGCCGCAACAGAGGTTTGCAAGGTGGCAAAGCACTTTGCAGGATAAGCGTAGTACATCTTTATTGAGACACATCACAATAGATATCCCGCATCCCCAAAAGCAAAAATACTGAACCAGCGATAACCAGCGAAGCTTCAAAGCTTCACAAACCCAACCAGCAAGTCCTTGTGTCTGCCTTCAGCAAAGGACACAAGTCCTCCACAGCTCAGACGTTCCGAGCGATCAACGCACAGACAAAACCCCGAAAGATGTTTCCTCCGCTTCATCACAGGATCACAAACACATTTACAAACTATAGGCACTGCAGGCTTTGGACCGGGAAAAGACTCGTCTTTGGGAACAAGTGTCAACAAAGATATCACAGGCTTCCTCTCATCATCTCTTCCGCTCCTGTCCCCGACACGATGGCTGCCGCTTGCCCCAGCTCCGCCGAGCTGAAGCGGGCGGAGCCCAAGACCAGTGAGCCAATCCTCACGGCGCACGAGCTGTGTGGTGGGAACCCCAACGGACTTGACGGTTGGGATGAACATGCGCAGGCTTGCCTGGAGAGGGGGTGGTGAGATGTGGTAAGAGTACCCTTCTCGGTAATCCTAGAGTCCAATGCAATTTCAGTCCAAACCACCATCCATTCAATCAAAGCCACATCACCGGCACCATCTTCGCCGATTTCGCCATAGTCGCCACAGGAAAAGATAGGCCCACAGCCAGTGAGGCGCTCATGCAGTACTTCCTCAGTTGAAACGCCAAATATAGCACACCTGTGGTGCGCAAGAGCTCTTATTGGTCAATGGTCTTTTTGTATGATGTGCTGTCAACTTGAGTGTTTTTAGACTGTCATGTGGGGATACCGCTTTGACAATCCGATGGTAACCTCACTGGCATTTGGGGAGGTCTGCGGCAAAAGCCTGCTAGTGAACTTGATGGGTGTATTGCAAGAAAACAGTTCAAACAACTTGGAGTGACTTGTCATGCATGCCTTGTTCCACATTTGACCTATGCAGTCTGTGGCAACAGCTATTTGTGGATATGACATGCCTGCTTCTGGTTCCTCCTTCGACCCCAGAAAAATCAAGCTGTTCGATCAAATCAAACCATAAAAACGAGATTCGGCCAATACCAATCCAAGAATCCCCAGCACCTGTCCGACACCAGAGAATAGTAGGAATACCTCGATGCGGCTTTGTCAGTGGATTTTGCAGCGAACTCCCAAAAAGATGTCATGCGAAAAAATGCGACCTTCTTTAGAAAATAGTGTCTCGCTTCCAGCAAGTTTTGGCTGGCCTACGCTGTTTTATTCAGAGAGGATTGTACAGTTCTGAGCTCCATGACAGTGTGGCTTTCTTCAAACCGGTAAATACACTGACATGATCTCCACCTTTCTTGAAGCTGCTTCGCAATCCCAGTATCTTAAAACCCACATGCTTTCTCCTATCGTCTGATCATTGAGCGCCAAAGTGGAAAAATCCACAACTGCTTGCCTAAGTACCAAGTTCCACTGCACACATTCCCTCACCAAACCCTCTGGCCTGCGGCAGCGCAGTGTGCCCTTCAAGGCAACGGCCCAAGGCACCTTGGAGCGGAACCAAAACCACAAGAAACACCAAATTGGGAGAAGTCTTCATGAGATTCTTTGGGGCAATCCCCAGTGCCACTGAACCATTTGGATGGTGAATTGGAAGGCGAACTCGCTTTGGAACCTGCGTTCGCGAAGGATGTCGTTTGACGGACTGCGTGCAAGGGAATGAGAATGAGTTGGTTTGAGCAATGCTTCCGCTACCGAAACTGCATTGTTACAAGACACTTTGGCAGGCTCCATGAAGTGTGAGCTGAAGGTCTTTTTGGAGGGCCCTGCCAGATGGTCTGGGAAGAATCTTCTCGCTTGGCTGACCACCAAGGATCAAGTAGGAATCGACATGATGGTTGTATGTAGACCCTCAGTTTTACATTTACTGCTCAGATTAAGCAACTGCAAGAGCCTGTGAAATGTCTAGAAGGGGATGTAGAAGGGTCTTGCAACGTGCAGCAGGAGCTGATGATTCCGAACAACCCCTGGGAAATTGCAAAGAACCTCGGACTGGAGCAGCACGCTTTCTTCTAAAGCTGCGACTGGGCAAGTCTTCAAGGTTGCTAGAACCAGAGGGGCATAGGGGCACCACTCACAGCATCAGTTCCATGATATCTTTTTCATGACATCCGCCCACTTGTTGGTGCCCTCAGTCGCCTTTCTGGTTGCCCTTCTGGCTATCTCTGCCCCTCACTCAGCTGTGTAAGCCTCTCAATGGCACTTGACCTTGGCCTCACGCTGCTTGAGCTCCGGCAACATGAAGAGTCGGTAGGCTGGGACCACCACGAGGCATAGGAAGAGTGCCAAGTAGACATCGACATTGGGACCCTCCATGGCATGGCCGATCGCATGCATGCCGATGGCGAAGCATACCTGTTGAGAGAGAGAGAGAGGGAAATGGCAGCCATGGATGTTTGAAAGTGGAACGATGCAGGTTGCTTTGTTCAACTTCAGCAGCGTGAAACCATGAAACCCAACAACGACTTCTTTCTGGAAGTGTTTCCTTTCAACACCAAGAACGATTCATGTTCAGTTCGCCTGTAATCATCACTCCCCCCACACGCTCGCCTCCCAGCTGATACCAATCAGCAAACCATGGGCCAAGATAATGTGTTGGATGATGTGCACCGCTGAGTCCGCGTCGCCACTCGCCTTCAAGTAGTCGGCCACCTGTCCAAGACAGAGACAGCTGGTGCTTCGTTCCACCCCAGCTGTGGAGAGGTCCATGAAATAGGCATTTGAAATAGGTTCGATTATTGATTGGTCGATTCTTAGCCTATATAAACCTCTTCACAAAGACTTTTGAAGCTTCGCAAAAAGGAAGTGGAAACTACTGTAATTCCATCCGTTTGTTTGATGGTACCTCCATTTGCCCGTTTGGCTCCAAGTTGCACCTTGTCCAAGGACACCAGCATGACACATGACAGGGCGGAGACCACCAGTGCGACGATGAGATGACCGATGAGGTGGTGTTCCAGGTGCGGCAAGAAGGCGTTCAGCATGGAGATGGAACAAGAAAGCATACCCCAGGAGAAGCTCCTGAGGGCACTCTCCAAACATCTGCCAAACAATTGCTGACTCCTCTTGCCACAGCATCGCCCCTCTGAAAGAAGGTTGGAAGTTGAAAAACTTGATCTAAGTGCTCTGCAAAGCAACTGTTTCCCAGGCCCCGCGCAGTGAGTCGGTCAAAATGTCCCATACCATGATGGGGACCTGCCTCCGGCCACCCCTCCCACCATGATCGATCCCAGTTTGATGCGGCCAAAAGTCATGATGAACGTCTCTGAAAGGATCAACAAGCCGCGCAAGCGGATGTCATCTTCCTTGGGCACTGCTGGCACTCAGGATGAAAAGATTCAAGAAGAGAAGAAAGCACCTTCCAAAGGGTGTTTTGTGCACAGCTAAGGGTTTCTGCACATCCTTTTGGGGGGTTCCAGGGGTTTCGCCAACTGGCAGGGTGTAGTCAAATAGCACATAATTACTGTCCAACCAAAGAACCTTGGCTCTTCAACGTCCGCACTCAAGATACCCAAGACAACAGCAATTTGAAAAAGAAAGAAGGGCTCTTAGGTTGGAGGCCATCGCTGTTAGGTTGGAGGCCATCGCTGTTAGG